ATCGACAAGCGGAGATTGAAAAAGAAAATTGGAGGATAAAGAATATTTTATTATTCGCAATCGGGACAATGTGATGACCGTTGTTCTTCAAAATGTAAATAACAAGAGACAAATGAACTTCATCCGTCCTGACACTGTGGTCTTCTTTGGACGAAACACCGCCGATAAAGAATGTGCTGAATGACAAAAAAGAGCAGGAAGGAAAGGGGTTGAATACCCATCCCTCTATTGAATAAGAAGCTGAGATTATGTTAACAATAAGAATCTTTATGTTCAACTAACCATGGAAAGAGACCCAATTTGAGACTATTATGGAGACTTTATGAATTCACCAGGATATGTAAGAATTGACCGAAGCCAAATTAACAACGACCATATTAGCAAAGAAGGAAAAGTGCTTCGTTTAGCCGCTAATCATTGAGATTGAAAAGAAGTTAAAGAATGAGATGAAGCAGAAAAGAAAATGGTTTGAAAACCAACCGAAGGGAATGACGAAGATTGGAAAGATGATTCGCCCGAAACTATACAATGAAATCAAGACTATTGGAATAATCAACTTGTTCCATTAACCCCATTAAAAACTACTAAACTTGAATTTAAGAAACCTGATGGTTCAGATTGATATGTGGAAGCTCAAACCAGCCCTGAAACTCCTTACGAAGACCGCCAAGGAGTAGAAAGAAATTCATACAATAAAAGCCATAAAGAGCCGTGGGATGAATCATCAGCCGAAGACCATATTTGCCCTGCTTGTGAAAACTGTTATGACTTTTGCGATGATTTGAGAGTCAAAAGAGCCACCTCTGTTGGTTATTTAATCAAAGGAAGACCTGCCAAATGACAGCCTCAATTCAAAATGCTATATTCTGTTTTCCCTTCTACACCTGAGAAACTTTGAAGAACAGTTAATGACCCAGCCAACAAGAATTACATTTCGGTGAATGTTATCGTAGATGAAAATGGAGACCAAATATGCGTAGTTCCTTCTAATTTAAAATTGAAAGAATGGTCTACTGAAACTCAAATTAGCGACCTTCTTACCAATGCCCGAGTTCCAAGTTTGTTATTCATGGTTGATAAACAACATAAAGACAAAGAAGGTATTGGACCAACCAGTTTTCCTCAACGACATCCCAAAGACAAAACCAAATTGATTTGGGAAGAACTTCCAAAGACTTATGAAGAAGCACCTCATCTTCTTAATCATTCCTCAGCCCAATTCAATTTACAAAGAGACCAGATTCAATACCATCCAATTTGAAATCCAAATCATCATAAAAGAATATTCCTCTTTCTCCCGCTTGTTTTAAGCAATCTTTAACATCCCAAAACAGATTCAATTCTTCGGCTCTTCATTCTCCAACTTTGACTACTTAAATATAGAATGAGTAATTTCGTCCAATTTAGTTCGGGATTGGTTAATCTCATCAATGGCTAGGGTCA